GCACAGAATACCTGACTGCGGCGGACTTTGTTGCAGAACTCTCTGCAAAAATAACAAATACATCTTGCAGCAGGTTCAATATGAATAGAGCCAATGTGTGGGATGGAGCAATCCGCGGCTTCAAAGGTGGCTCATTCGATCCCTCATGAGACGTCAGTTAAGTTCACTGATTGAATTTTGATTTTGAATTGATTCTGCCAACTGTTTCTACACGGACCACTATTGCGGTAAGCATGTTGTAACTTCCGGTTGTTGTCATCTCCGGGTATCCCGTGTGCCCGTTCTGTTGCTGATAGCTTATTATCTTAACTTAATCGATCGTTTTAAAACTCTTGATCACGGCAACTGCCTGACGTTGTAATCACACGTTACTATAACTTAAGCTCTCACAACTCTCCTTCTCTTAGCGACTGTAACTCCACAGTTGCCTACACTCTTTTCGGGTTTGCTAACGGTAGCTACTTTAGCTTGATAGCTAGCCATGGCTCTTTCCCCACCCTCGGGTGCTATTTCCTGCTCTAACTGTCTCATGTTTGGTTACTTCCCTGCCTCCTTTACTGGTACCGGTACATGTGTTAAATGTAGTATAGTTGTTAGGTTGGAGGCGGGAATCATAGCCATAGAAGCCCGTCTCCGCATCTTAGAAAGAAACTCAGCTACAGTAAAGCCCATGTTAGCCGGTGCGGACCGGCAAAAGGTAGCTCCTATTAGCCGTCCCCCGGCAACTCCCGAGCAGCAGGGAGACTGGGTGACTGTTCAGAAGGGGCATAACGCGAAACCCGCAGGTCCCCACCAACCCGTTCACGTATCTAACAGATATTCCCCACTCAGCGAGACACCCGCTGAGAAGCCAACTCTGGTTATTGGTAGCTCTATTATGAGACACGTGAAATTAGAGACCGAAGCCTCCACAGTCACATGCATTCCGGGGGCCAGAGCGGGCGACGTTGAGGCGCATCTTAAACTGCTGGCTAAAAATAAACGTAAATACAGTAGGATTGTTATTCACGTCGGTGGTAATGATGTTCGTATACGCCGATCAGAATGCACCAAACTTAATGTGGAGTCGGTGTGTAGTTATGCTAAAACAATGTCGGACACCGTAATCTTCTCTGGTCCCCTCCCCAATCTGATCAATGATGACATGTATAGCCGCATGTCATCATTTCAGCGCTGGTTGTCTTGGTGGTGCCCAGCAAACAATGTGGGCTTCGTAAATAATTGGACAGCCTTCTGGGGAAAACCTGGTCTGATTAAGAGAGACGGCATTCATCCTACTTTGGAAGGTGCCGATCTCATTTCGGCAAACATTTCAGGGCTTTGTGGACTTAATCCATGACAAACTGGAGTTGAGACCAGGAGGCGGAGTCGCAGTCTTACACGCTTCTCTGCGCTCTCTCCTAGGCAGTCATCCATAGGAATCCCGAACCCAATAAAATACCCAATATTAGCGGTGTGTGTGTCTGCCCAAGGACAAGTTAAGGTAAACCTAATAGAGGTGTCATACATAATAACCTAATCAAAGTAAATGTAACAACTACTACAGTGCAACAAAACAGGAATATTAAATGTGGTCTCTTAAACATAAGATCTCTAGCATCTAAAGCAATATTGGTAAATGATTTAATATCAGATTATAATATTGATATATGCTGTCTCACTGAAACTTGGTTGAGACATGAAGAATATGTCAGCATAAATGAGGCCACTCCACCCAGCCATATCAATACTCATATTGCCCGAGGCGCGGGCCGAGGAGGTGGAGTTGCAGCCATCTTTGACTCAAGTTTACTTATCAATACTAAACCAAAATTAAATTATACCTCCTTTGAAAGTCTCGTTTTTAGTCTTACGCATCCGACCTGGAAAACTTTGCAGCCAATCTTATTTGTTACAGTGTACCGTGCACCAGGTCCTTATTCAGAATTCTTATCTGAATTCTCTGAGTTTTTATCAACTTTGGTTCTTAAAACAGATAAAGTAATTATCGTAGGTGACTTTAATATTCATGTTGACGATGATAAAAATAGCCTTACTGTTGCATTTAACTCTATATTAGATTCTGTTGGTTTTTGTCAGAGTGTAAATAAACCAACCCACTGCTATAATCACACTCTCGACCTTGTTCTGACTTATGGTATTGAAATTGAGCAACTATTAGTCAAACCGCATAATCCTGCTTTATCCGACCATTTCTTAGTAACTTTTGAAGTACTGTTACGAGACTACAAAGCATTAGTCAAAAGCTCCTGCAGCAGAAACCTATCTGTTAGTGCTATAGCCAAATTTAAGGAAGAGATTCCACCAATACTTAACTCGATAGCATGTCTGCATGTAAGGGAGGAAACGTATACAAAATGTACACCACCCCAAATTGATCATGTTGTTGATAGTGCTACAGATGCGCTGCGAATAAAATTAGACTCTGTTGCTCCTTTGAAAAAGAAGAAAATAAAACAACATAGACTAGCTCCATGGCATAATGCCGAAACCCGCAAAATAAAGCAAAAGTCGAGACAACTTGAAAGGATATGGCGTTCTACTAAACTTGAAGAATCTCGTTTAATTTGGCATATTACTCTCAATGAATATAAGAAAGCATTGCGTAAAGCGAGAGCAGCTTACTACTCTTCATTAATAGATGAGAATAAGAATAATGCAAGATTTCTTTTCAGCACTGTAGCCAGGCTGACAGAAAGCCACAGCTCGATTGAGCCTTCTATTCCCATAGCACTCAGTAGTAATGATTTTATGTGCTTTTTTAACGATAAAATTGTTACTCTTAGAAACAAAATTAATGACCTCTTGCCTTTGACCAGTATAGTGTTATCAACAGCTCCCGGAAACGTAAGTTCTAATATTACACTAGATAGTAAACTAGAATGCTTTTCAGCCATAAACCTTGAACAATTAAATTCAATGATTCTCTCTTCTAAACCATCAACGTGCATGTTAGACCCAATTCCAACTAAGCTGTTGAAGGAAGTTTTTCCATTAATTAGCACTTATTTATTAAATATTATGAATATGTCTTTATTATCAGGCTATGTTCCACAATCATTCAAAGTAGCAGTGATAAAACCGCTTCTTAAAAAGCACAACCTCGATCCAGAGGTTTTAGCCAACTATAGACCTATTTCTAATCTTCCGTTCCTCTCAAAAATTCTTGAGAAAGCGGTCGCAAAACAGTTGTGTGATTACTTAAAAAAACAATGATTTATTTGAAGCTTTTCAGTCTGGCTTTAGAACACATCATAGCACAGAGACAGCTCTGGTTAAAGTCACAAATGACATTCTAATAGCCTCTGACAAGGGACGTGTCTCTATTCTTGTTTTGCTCGATCTCAGTGCTGCATTTGATACTATCGACCATGATATCTTATTGCAAAGACTAGAGCACTTAGTTGGCATACAGGGAACTGCTTTAGACTGGTTTAGGTCCTATCTATCTGAACGCTCTCAGTTTGTACGTGTCAATGATGAATCTTCCACGCTAACCAAAGTAAGCCATGGAGTGCCACAGGGCTCAGTGCTCGGACCTATTTTGTTCACATTATATATGCTTCCGTTAGGCAATATTATAAGGAATCATTCTGTAAACTTTCATTGTTATGCGGATGATACTCAACTATATGTATCAATCAAGCCTGATGAAATTAATCATCTAAATAAAATTCAAGACTGCCTTAAGGACTTAAAAACGTGGATGACCTTAAACTTTTTGATGTTAAACACGACCAAAACTGAAGTTATTGTACTTGGCCCGAAGAATCTACGAAACAAATTATCTAAGGATATACTAACTATGGATGGCATTAATTTGGCCTCCAGTGAGACTGTAAGGAATCTTGGTGTTATATTTGATCAGGATTTATCCTTTAACGCCCACATAAAATCAATTTCAAGGACCGCCTACTTCCATCTACGTAACATTGCAAAAATCAGGCATATCTTGCCTCAAAACGATGCAGAGAAACTAGTCCATGCATTTGTTACTTCAAGGCTGGATTATTGTAACTCTTTATTATCAGGGTGTACTAAGAAGTCAGTCAAGTCGCTTCAGCTGATTCAAAATGCTGCGGCTCGTGTACTAACCAGAGTTAGGAAAAGGGACCACATTACTCCTGTTCTGGCTGCCTTACACTGGCTCCCTATAGAACACAGGATAGAATTTAAAATTCTTCTTCTCGTCTACAAAGCCCTTAATGGGCAGGCGCCATCTTACCTTAAAGAACTCATTATACCCTACTGTCCTACTAGGGCATTGCGTTCCAAGAATGCAGGTTTGTTGGTTGTTCCTAGAGTCTCTAAAAGTACAATGGGAGCCAGAGCCTTTTCTTATCAAGCTCCACATTTGTGGAATCAGCTTCCAGTTTGTGTTCGGGCGGCAGACACCCTATCCGTTTTTAAGAGTGCGCTTAAGACCTTCCTTTTTGATAAAGCTTATAGTTAGGGCTGATTAGATCCAGCCCCTAGTTTTGCTGATATAGGCTTAGTTTGTCGGGGGACATCTTACTTCTTCCTTCTCTCTGTCTATACCTGTGTACTCTCATGTTCCGATTAACCCAGCTTCCCCAAATGTCTTTCTTTTTGGTGTCTATATACGCCGGGATCCGGAGTCATGGATGATCCTGCGCTCCTCTGTCCTGGATCGCGAGCCCTGGATCTTGAGTCGTGGCTGTGGTCCTGGATCATAGGTCCTGGATGGATATCCTCGTGGATTCATCTTACTATTATACACACATGCATTTCCAAACATTTGGACTACCTATGTTGCTAATGTATTATCTTTTCAATTTACACACGGCATCTATTGCACGTCTGTCCGTCCTGGGAGAGGGATCCCTCCTCTGTTGCTCTCCCTGAGGTTTCTCCCATTTTTCCCTTTAAACTGTGGGTTTTCTCCGGAAGTTTTTCCTTGTACGATGTGAGGGTCTAAGGACAGAGGGTGTCGTATTGTCATACTGATATTTTGTACAAACTGTAAAGTCCACTGAGACAAATGTAACATTTGTGATATTGGGCTATATAAATAAACATTGATTGATTGATTGATTGACTGATGATGAGGGACAAACTGAGGATGGAGGGGACACTGGTGGTCCCAAGCGTGAGTTCCTGACCCTCCTTATGGAACGCCTGAGAATGAAGAAAACATCACGTCAGCAACTGTTTGTGCCCCATGGCGGTGTGACTTTCCCAGCCGCTCACTGTCTCAAAATCTGATTCTAAATGTATAATGTTCTCTATAAAGATACAACTAATACACAATTATGAATGTATAATATAAGCTGTTTTGTGTATTTAATCATGCATTGGTCTAAAATGTAATGATGGCTTCTACATATTTCACATAAACAGACAATGAAAAAATGTGTCCTTCATGCTGATAACTAGTGTATGCATCTGCCAATTAGTATTCTAAACAGAGTAGTGTGTTGAATCCTTATTTCTTGCATTTGAAACAGATACAATACAAAAAGTGAACTTACTGTTGTGTTCAACTTCTGCCACAAACTGTACATGTTTGCCACAGGAGCCACAGAACACTTGAACTGTCCCCAGATGTTGGCCACAGAAAGGACACAACATGGCGGCCTGAAAATACATACATTGATGTAGTAAATCCATTTAATCAAGTTAATCAAAAACACATAGTCTAAATAGTGGTTAGCTAAATAAATAGAAAGATACATCATGTTTACCGTTGAATCTGTGTTTTGTCTCTCTCTCCTTGAATGTCTCTATATTTGTTCTTGAGCATGTCTAATGCACACTACTCTCCTGTCATTACTTTGTCCCTCTTCACATGTTGTCATATCTCTCTCTCTCTCAATTCAATAGCTTTATTAGCATGACCATAGTCACAGGTAATTGCTAAAGCTCTGTATAGTTGCAACATCTATACACAAATATATACATATAAACAAACTGCTAAGAATTCAAATGTCCTTTTTCCGCGGTACTCACTATGGCCCGTGTTATTTGCCTGCACTTGATTTGTCATCTCTTTTAACAATGTTCTTCCCTCACTTTATCTTCTCTTCACGTGAAGCTCTCCTCCCTCAGCTGGTGTAGTAGTTAGGCACGCTAACGCTAGCTATATAAATATGACGCTCTATGTATAAAAACAAAACTTACCTTCTTATATCTTTCTCCACTTAAATGAACTTTCTTTCCTCTCGATTTCCATCACTCTTGTTCGTTCTTTCTATGTCTGGTCAGACATCAATATGTGCCACGTAGCGCGCCCCCTAGAGGCCTGGAGCACTTCCGGAATGTTTTTTTTGTATGTGTTTTGGGATTTGTACGTGCTTTGGACTTTGCATATCATTTTGGTATTTGCAGCGTTTTGTTGTTGCGTTTGTTTTCGGGGTTTGTGTGTTGTATTTAGTTTGCATAATTTCTGTAAATGCAGCGTTTTTCTGTTGTATTTGTTTTCAGGGTTTGTTTGTTTTTCATTTCATTATTTGCAGGTGTTTCCTGCTTATGTATGCGTTTTGGGCCGTTGTTCCGCGTTTGCACCTGCCGGCCACCGTACAATGTATGCTCTTACCTCACAATCAAACATGGAGCTATCTAACGTGAAAAAGCGCCAGCAATCAGTGCTAGTACCGCTAATGGTGCTAACAGCGCTAACAATGTCACCAGTGCTGACAGAGTAAACAAGACGTCTCCCGGGTCGTGAATGGGGAATAAATGAAGAGGTTCAACTGATTAAAATGCAGGGAATCTCAGAGGGAGTGCGTCTTGCTTCTCTGCTCAAGTCTCTATAACTTCAGTAGCAAATAGTTGTTTGCTGCTATATGAATGGTAAAACTAGTTTTAGAGTGCTTTGGAAAAGTCTGCATTTATTGTTTGTGCCATATTTAAAATAACATGAGCTTATGTTTTGTTTATTTATGGAGCTATGCTTTCAACCGAAATATGTGCTACAAGAAACCCAGCAGCTTTGTGCCAAGTTTGATGGGAACAAGAGGTGAAGGGGAAAGTCCATCCTGCAAGTCTGGGGTATTGAACTGCATCCACATAGTGGGTATGTTTTTGACTGTGTGTATGGTAACATAGGTCGATAATGCTGTGGACTGTATTTGAATGTTATGCGTCAATACAGGAAAAATCAGGTAGATCTAGAATGTGTCAATGATCTCAAAGGCGAGAGAGAGTGCAGTCATGTATATCTGTGACAACCATAGACTGTAGGCTATATATAAATCAAATCAAATCAAGTTTTATTTATATAGCACATTTATAAACGATTTTTGGTCGAGCCAAAGTGCTGTACATATAATAAAAATAGCCTACAGTAGAGACACTTTACAGCAGGTAAAGGTAAAGGTATATAAGGTGACAACGTATCTATTGGCAAGGTGTGGAACACTTCACCATTAACACTTTCACACACAGCCTGTCAATGTAATGAAAGCCTATAACCCGAGGCTGTGTCACATGCCCACATGTGCTATTAACTCTGTCTGTCACTCAGATTCAACCTTGTTAAATTGTTACATGGAGATTTTTCTTAATGTAGACAGATTTTGTGCCCGGCATGTGATGGGTGAGTTAATTAAGTGACATTATTAAAGCCAAGAGTGACTGCGCCATGTTTTTATTAATTCACCATCTGACCTTTCCTCTGGATTCAACACCTGATACCTTTACAATTACTGTATCACACCTCGAAAAAAAGTAATAAAAAAACAAAACATGAATTCAGCTCTAAAATATCTCACACCACGGCAGCGTTTTCAGTTTTGTTTCTGTGTCCTTTTCTGACTGTTCGCAGTGGGCGTCCTTTTTTTAAAAGGGCAATTCTAACTCCACACACAGACATTGCTTTATGTATGGTGCAGGATGTCTGGAATTAAAGCCATTGTACAAGATTTAAAAACAGCAGTTTGTTTGAATATTACCACTCAGAAATTATTGCAACTTTAAATAGGAGAAATATGACATTTACAATAATACAAAAAGTAATTTCCAAAACCAATTTCCGATATGTGCGGCTCGGCTTTGAGAGCTGCCTGCAATATTAGGCAGATTAAATTATTCATCGATTAAAAAAAAGCCACACCGTTACACAATTCAAGGCCTAGAGCAAAAGACGTATGAACCAATGAAACTCAAAGGGCAATGATGATAAACAATGCTGCTGGGATCCCACTCTCTAGTCAATCTCATGACTTTGCCTTTAGCCAAAAGTCATGAAATGACAGTTTGTTATCAGGTTTAGGGGAGCCAACATTTAGACAGCTCATCCCATGAGCAGAAACATCACTATTATTTATTTAAATCTAACTCCTTATTTGTTAAAATCCCCCAAATGTGTCATATTTGACTGTACGCTTAAAGCTTAAACTGAGGATTGTTGGAATACAAAAATCCTAAAGCTTCAATTGTTTAAAACCTTTGAAATCAAGTCACATGTATGTCAGCTGTAATGTTTTTATTATATTATATTTTTATTTAAACCTGTATTTAACGAACATCAGCAGATATGTTTAACATTTTAGCTTGCTTGATGCAATAATGGTATTATTATATAATGTACTTTTTTCATACACAATGTAAATAATTAAACAAATAAAACATTATTACATTTAGATTCTCTAGTATCAGAGTCCTTGTATGTATGGTCAAATGTGAAGTCACGTTAGACCAATGTCGCAAAAACACAAAAAAAACATGTCTAAAAATGGAAACGAGCCATTGTGCAATTGACTGTACAAATAAATTTAACAATAAGCTAAAAGCCAAAAGCTAAATAATACAGAAGCAAATTGATCTCTGTAATTTGAAGAAACAACTCGAAAACCTACGCAGCAAAACTTGGATTTGCAGTTGCCATTTTCCATCAGGTTTTAGTAAACACCTATTTACTGTATTGATAACTCGTCAATGAAATGTTATTTGATTATATTTTTTATAAAAGTTAGGATTTCGTCAGCATTTATTTAGAAAAACATGATTAGCTGTGTGTTCTACAAGTAGGGGATATATGTTGAGGTAGGGTTAGCTGACAACAACAAAGCTAGCCTAGCTGCGAACAAAATAGCTAACAGTTTTCCAAGTAAAAATGAGAAATCATTGTAAATATGTATACAAACCTCTCCGAACACAAATATACGTAAATAAATTTAAAAAAAAGTACGTAACAATACGTAACAATTACGAACAATTTCAAATTTGTATCAGTCTGTATCAGATCCGTTGCAGCCCCGTTTTTAGAGATGTAGGTATGGAGGAAAAGAGAGAGGGTTGTGTTTTCTGATACTTGGTGAGTTCCCTGACACACCGGGGACACATAGTCATGTATAAAATACGTACAAGAGTGCATTTTGCATGATAGGTCCCCTTTAAGTGATTAAACATCCTTTTTCCTTCTCCATATTCGTTATCTAGTTTTGTTTACACTCCGGCCCAATCCCAAACCACGCCCTACACCCTACCCCTCCGTTTGCGCGTTCGCACGGAGGGTACACCACATTAAGTGCTGTTCCAAACTAACGATTGTGGAGCGGTGTGGAGGGGGAGTGGGCTAGCATGCCATCAAACAGTGAGTCTGCATCGGTGCTAACTGAAGACCAGTCTCTACCTGACCGGTCTCAACGCTGTGTGTGTCCGTCAGGAAACACGCTGTTTACAAGTAGTTCCAGCAAACATCCACTGATAAATTGCGATGTTAACAACCTCATGATAACCTCATATGTTTTTAACTTAGGATCGTATACAGGTGTTTAGTCTAGAAAAAGGTAAATGTGTGACAAAAAATAAAAATGAATAACTAAAATAGAACTCCAAACATCTTTAATTGTGTTACTTTTTTGTAAAGCAGTTTGATGGCTTGATAGCCCACTCCCCCTCCACACCGCTCCACACTCGTTGGTTTGGAACAGCACTTAATGTGGCGGACTATCCGCGTGAACTCGCAAACTGAGGGGTTGGGTGTAGGGGGCGGTTTGGGATTGGGCCTCCGTCTAACTCTCTCTCATTCACACTCAGTCAATCACTCACTCTGGCACTCCTGCTGCCCCATAGTTGTTGGCGGTGTCAACAGCTGCTTTGGGCGCAGCTTGGGAGAGTCAATAGGCAAATATTTCTGCGCCCCAAGCAGGAAACATGTAACTTATCAGTATCTTTAGACACCGTAAAACAATTTTTATCGATATTTTATTGTAGATTATAAATTTAACTGACACCAACTAATATGTACCTTGTTCATTAACATTTTTTTAATAAAATTAAAATGTATTTTATTGACAATCTAGAATGTGGGAAGAGGTGGGGCGGCGCCCCTAGCACCCCTATGGGCCGGCCCCCACTGGTTCAGAGTGTTATAAGGTCACACTTATTGTGGCATTCTTAATATCAACGCATTGCTGATGTTGAATGCTCAGCAACATTTAACATCGTAGCTGACTGAGGAGCAGCTAATTTAGCAATTATATACAGTTGGATGGTTTCATCTATCACACAGAATCACATTTTAAGATGATTGAATAGGACGTTTTTTTTAAATCTTAATCCAGAAAGTAATGAATAACTATGTCTAAACTATCTGTACATATACGATGTTTCAAATAAATCTGAAAACATTCAAATACATTAACAGCACAGTGATTGTATTCAGTTATGTGTCATTTTGGAGTGAAATGTGAGACATTGCATAGTTACTACTTCAAATGGTGGTGGTGATAATTCCTGCAGCAGAGTTTAGAAACTTAGTAAATAAGAGCACAACTAAAGATTTGTCTCCAACACCTGATGGACACTTAATGAGGCCTTTACCTGGAAAAATGTTTACTCGTTGCATTTCCACATCGATAGCTAATTGGATGAGCAGTCCCTGTAAAGGAAAAGCACAATCCACATCCCCCATCCACTTTTAATTGACGGAACTTCAGAGAAAGCAAAGATTTGAATTGGACAACACACTTTGAGTCTCTACACCTAGAGTCAGTCTGGATGAGACAGACTGGTGATTACTGAATCCTTCTTTAAGGAAATTGGTGGAAAGCCGAAAGACATTTAGCTGATGTTTCTTTTTGTAACCGGTCGTATTGGTGTGCAGCTACACTGAAAATAGCTGCTTATGAAACACAGTGAATCACTTGGCAATACAACCAAAATAGCACAGCTGGACTGTTTGACATAACTTGTTTCTTTAGACATGCTGAATAAAGGATAAAGGTAAGAGCAGGAA